TGTATCGGTTTCATTATTCTCAAATTGGCTTGCCTTAAATTTTACTACGACATCTGGTTTAGTATGTTATTTTATGGCGACACTTTTTAGTTGTAAACAACTGGAAACATTAAAATTAATGTAAAATTTTCGAACAAAGTTTTAAGTTCTCAGACTTGTAACACTAAAAAAATGAAGTTCCAATTACGCTGTAATATTTGAACTACCTAAATTCGTACAGTTTCACTGCCGTCGAAGAAAATATTTAGAAACATATTAGGTATTTTCATACTTTCCCACAAAAACTCTCAATCTGGACATTTTTGAAGCAAAAGCGTTGATTCTCTACATTGATCAGGAATGCTTGGGTTAAGCAAATCTTGGCAGTAATTTCGTTCAAAAATAGAACATTTATATACTTGTACTACAGAATTTGCTAACGTTTTTGTCCCTCAATTGAGCAGAAAGCAAGAGTTAAGGAAATCTTCGTATTAAATTCGTTCAAAATTGAAAATTATGTGCTACAGAATCGTCCTTGCGTTTGTCCTAAACGAATACGGTGTCTATTAAGTGGACAGGGGGACCATCGTAACGCAACACCAGGAATAATAGTATAGATGTACTAAGCTTATGGCGAGACTAATTGCAACTAATGAAAATTGAGTGGTCGTTTGCACCAGATTTTGGGTGAAATAGAGAAAGTTGAATAAGCTTTTATATTCAGAGCGTTTTATATTTTTTAGTACGATCATGTTTTCCAGAACCAGTCTGGTCGCGAACTAAATTGAAAAATTCGCCATAACTTAGGCAATTTCCCAATTTTGATACGTTGATAGGTTTTTTTTATCCTGCGGAAGAAAAAACACTCTAAACTTTTTGAATGCCCGAAGGGCACGTCACAAATTTGACATTCTTATTCCATAGTCTAGTTTAAAGAGTTTCTTTTTTTCCGTAGCGCAAAAAATCTATTGTCGTTTCCGCCCAATTAATCTCGTGCTTATAGAGCTCTACACAACAAATCAATTGGACTGGTTTGGGTGTCAATGTTGTTCCGAGCCCTTCGGACACGACACTGGTAAGAGAAGAAAAGCGACGAATCAGGCAGTTGATTTTCACATTAAAATCAGTGTCGCGTCCGAAGGTATCGGCTCAACTTATACGTTCTTTCGTATTCTAATGTGTTTGTATATGTATTTATGTTTTTTAATAAACCTATAATTTTCTTAGCCGACAAATAAAACTTATAGCATAGTTCTGACGTTAAAAGTATCGCACGGTAATTAAAATAATCAAACGAATAATATAAATTATTACATTAATCAAGATAGCGATAACAAAGTCTCTAAATTAATCTGTAGATTTAAACTGAAACTCTCTATAGCTTTTAAATACATTGTTTATTTGACAATTTCCATCAATAAATGTTGAAATTGAAACGTCCCATATGGACTTCAGGATAAGTTAGTAACGCTTTAGACGCTTTATTTCGGACGGTGCGTATACGCATTTATGAGAAGGCATTCTCCAAACAAAAGACAAAAACTCTTTACGATAACTTTATGGTACCTAGCGTCCATTAGATTTTGTGAAGATTTTAAGTTTTGGACACCGCTTTACTCACCATCTTTAGGCTCAATCTGATTGAGAATGGAATAAAATTGCAAAAGAGTTTGCGGAAACATATAATTTTCCCACTTGCTTGGACAGCGTGGATGGCAAACACGTCCAAAGAATTCCAGCCTCAAGCAATGGCTATTATTATTATAATTACAAAAACGGTCGTAGTTTCGTATTTATGGTAATTGCAGGTGTTAATAATAAGTTTACTGTTTTAATTGTAATTTTTAATAATAGTTTAATATGATAGATTTAGGTGTTTTTTTCATTTATTTAGCTTTATTGAACGTCGGTGTAAAACATCAGGTTCATTTAGTTATACAATAAAATTTACATATATTATAATAACATATCATATATATAAATCTCGTGTCACGGTGTTTGTGGTCGAACTCCTCCAAAACGGCTCGACCGATTTTTAGGAAATTTTTTATGTGTATTTGGTAGGTTTGAGAATAGGTGATAAAGTATATTTCATACCGCCAGGTGGTTAGGGTGTCTCGTCAGAAAATAGTAATAATAATTTAAATTTTCGCAACCAAAGCAAACAAAATATTCACTAGAAATAATTTATTTGACAGAACACGGTTTGTGGGGCCAGCTAGTAAACTATAATACAGTGAAAGCTCTACTTGCGGACAACTCCAATAAGCGGACATCTCTCTTAACCGGACATTTTTCTTGGAACCGAATTTCGTCCTATGGTTTTCAATGTAAAACACTTTCTTATAAGCGGACATTCTATTAAACAGACGCGGACATGATATTATGATCCTACGGAGTTGAAAAGCTCTTACAAGCGGACACGAACCTGTAAAACCCGGTCGACGAATAAAACCATTATAAAAAATAAGCGAGTTTCAATCGGGAAATTCCTTCACATATTCCGTAATTCCCCGTTTAAGATGTTTTGACTTGACTTTCTTTATTCATCAAGAATTGTGCCATTAAGTTTCGAGCACATGGAGAGAGTGTTTGTGAATATGGCTCCGAAAAATAAAATGCTTTCCTTAAAGGAAAAAATGGAAATAGTAAATGCTTTAGATAAAGAAACAGTGTCCGTTCGAGAGCTAGCAAGGCGATTTAAGATCGGAAAAAGTCAAGCGGCATAAATAACCAAAAAAAGAAGATATTAGAACCAAATCGCAGTGTGGTGACAATGTAGGACCAAAAAGGAGTTTCCTAAGGAGTGATGGTCTTGACATAGATACAAAGTGTTTAGAGTGGCTGGCTACATGGTTACTGGATGATGCTTGGCTACAAGACGGAGGACGTTTTCAACGCAGATGAGACCGGACTTTTCTTTCGTGCATTACCAGACAACATTTTTCGATGACGACTTAATTTATGTCAGCCCTTGTACCAAAGCATCATTAAAAACATTTTTTTTAAACAAATTTTGGAGAAAGATTCTTCAAAGAGATTTTATTCTAAAACATGTGTTAACTAAAATTGACTCTTCCAAGTCTGTGTCTGAGCTGTCAAAGTTTATTAATGTATTAGAGGCTTTATAATTCATGAAGACTGCGTAGAATAAAGTAAATTCTGCAACAGTCAAGAATTGCTTTTTAAAAGCTGGATTCAAGAATACAGAAGGATAAATTCGACAAGATTCTAATCCAGAAGATGAGCTGCCTTTGGCATTATTAGCTGGGCCAATGCGTCATGGAAAATCCTTATGTGCAAGTGATCAATAAGCACAAGGATTTGAAAACATGGACCATATGGTGCAGAYTGAAGAGGAAACGTTTTATCCTGATACCACCGCCCTTTCCAAAACTGAACTTTCCATGAGTAGTGATGATGACGAATCAGAAGAAACGTTGACAATTGTACCTGATGCTTCACTGATAAAATCGTATGATGGTATCTTAAATGCAACTTCCCTTTGCGTTTCAAGATCTTAAAAACGTTGAAACCCAATTTCAGCATTGCATTATTCAACAAAGATTTCAAAAAACGCGCCAACCTAGTATTTTAGAATATGTTGATAAACCGGCACAATAAGTTTCTATGTTTCTATGTTGACAAATGTTATAAAACATATATATACAATAAAAAAGCTGAAAATAAATATTTCTTTGCAATTAAATACATATCTTTTTTATACGGACACCTCCCATAACCGGACATTTCTTGTGGAACCGTGACTGTCCGCTTATCGGAGCTTTCACTGTATTACATATTTCGCCATTTACGTTATATGAGATTTATATGTATGTCGATCCTATAAACATGTTACATTCTTTGAGGAAAGAATCACAGGCACGTGAACACGGACTGGCTACAAAAGATTCGACGCGGAGTGGTAGCGAATTCTTTTTAGTCTATTTAGGTGGAATTATTGAGACTACTTCACTTCTTCTTCTTCACAGAAGGCTCAAAATTCCTCGGGCGCAGTCCGTATTTATGCACCGGTTGCGATGACGTGGTTTGTGATGACGTGGCCTGTGTCAACGGAGCCTGCGCGTTYTRTTGGATGTTGTTATCCTCCGGTGTACTGRATTCTCTCTYCTGTCCTGAGCTGTTGCTTTTTYTTGCTGTTTTTGCGTTATTAAGGKAAAAAATGGGAGGAATTTATTTTAATKTCTGCCTCRAATCCGACGTTTTTTTTCTAATTTTTGTAAAATTTTTACAAAGCTATAAATTTATCTTGTCATTATTCGGGTAAACGACTTCTAGCTCGTCAGTATTTTTAAGTRAAACTCTACAAAATAGAGCGTTTTTGAGTAGAAAGTAAAGCAAAAAAAAATCAGTCTATCCTAAAAAAAACACATTTTTTAACAAACTCTACAGTCTTAAGAGGAATTGAGGTGACGAGATTTCCAAATAATCTGTTAGAAACTTTAGCTTATTCTGTYCGTTTTTTAAAAGAAATTATTTAATTTTCGTTTCAAATCCGACACTGGAAAGGTATTTCCAAACTGTTTACAAATCGACTAAGGATTCGAAGCTTTGTTTCATAACTTTTCACGAAAAATACATAAGTGCTGGAAACCATATCCTGTTTAGTGGAAAACCATTAAGGTTTTCTCTAAAACCGATCACAAAAGTTTTTAATCGAAAACGCAAAAAAACATTATTTTCTGACAATAATTACGTCTTTTCAGCCAAAAATAACGAAATCACTTTTGCTTTTGGTTTGCAGGAAACTTTAGAAAACCCTTTGCAGCTTCGACTTTGGCACAAAAACCAAATAAATGTATTCAATATTTTGCCGAAAGTATTTAAGATTATCTTGAAGAAAAGGGCCAGGTAGCAAAGGCAAGTAATTTGGAAACTTCGCCGGCCATATCGCCCTGAAAATATTTAGTTTCTTTAAATTTTCTGGTCATTCCAGTTTTAACAAAGTTTCTATTGAACAATTTTTTCTACGCCAAAATCGAATTACTATTTAGTTAAATCACTGACAATCTTTATAATCTTACCTTTTCGGGTTGCATATACTTTTTAGAGCTGCTGCCTCCGCTCTAGACACTTTTCGAACAGAGTATGTATATGATTATTTCACTCATCCATAGTACCGCCATAGATTAAAAAAAGTAATAATAAACGCGAATTCGATCATTTTCAAAAAAACTTACAGCAATAATTTTCATAATGCTGTTGGGTGTAGAATATGTCTTCAAAGTTGTGCACATTAAAATTGACCATCCTGTATACAATTATGCATTACTAACATTGATAAAGAATTTAGAAAAAATAATGTGATTTTAATTTTGAGCGAATTACCTAAATAGTGGGCATGAGTAATAAAACTACAACTTATTTGACGGAGTCTCTATTATGTCCAATTTTCGTCTATCCAATAACATAATGTATGCATTAATAGTACTACTTCTAATAGGTCCTACTGATGAATAATAACGAGATTTGCTATCTTTTAAGTAGTCGTCTACAATCTAATAAAAATAGGAACAAAATATTTATAACTTCTCTTAAGTATGGCTTCAACAAGTTTGAATTATGATAAAAATATTTCCGTCAACCAACGATGAAAATGTTTTAATTTGAATTAATCTGCTGTTGGGAGATGCTTACCGTTAATTTATTGAAATATATATTAACAAAATTCAAAACATTTGTTATTTAATCATAACAAAACACCTCAAACTAACTAAACAAAAATGTACATTGAGGAATACGACAATGTATTCTTAATAAGAAAAGATTCTAATTTTTGTACATAAATATAAATTATATCTACATATTTTACAAGTTTTGCTTCGACAAAATTTGTTTTATTTTGCTTGATGCGTTGAAATATAAAGTGCTCACGCAAGTCTCATATCATATTCATTTATATAAATTTTCGACGATTTGAACTGAATTAATAACGTTTTCTTGGATATTCGAAAAATGTGCCAAATGCGAATTAACAAACTTACAAAATTTCAAAAAATGCTACATGAGTAAAATTATTTGCTTTCTTCAAAAATTGCAGCTGAGCCTACCTGGTTACTATCTACAGGGCCAAATAAATCACGGTCAAGTGATTTTCAGTTACTAATTAAGATAAATGAAAATCTTGTTTTACCGAATCTTGCTTTAGCGTACGTACTGTCTACATGTCGCTGGCCTGATAAAACACTATTTCAGGCAATTCTTAGTGTAAACAGGATTGTTTATGTCCTTTCTCATTTTTAGCTAAACTTTCTCAATAGAGACATTCTGGTTTGCGATCGTATCAATAGATTTCTATAGTGATTTTATGGATATGATCGCAAACCAGTATGGAATAGTAGAAAAGTTTCTCTGATTCTTCCACTTCCACTTTTCCACTGTTCTTTACGTTGGAAACCGTAGACAAATCACAATGAAATACTTAGACCCAAGTCTACAATTGCGGTATATACCGGGAACAAACTCTTTGTAGAGTAAGATATACTAGGGATAATCTGTGGCATAATACTATGTGTTGTTCCACAATGAAACGATGGCGCGAGAATAACTGTTCCGAGCTTATCGAAACTTTGGCTCTGGCGGTGTCCAAGGCAGTCGATGGCAACGTTACCATCGAGATGACCGTTTTTTCGAACTTTTACCTTAATTTACCTCAAAGTTTATGATAGTACTCCAAAGAAACAGTACCTAAAATAATTCAGCTAGTGTATGTGCTCGATTTTCTTAAGAAATGGCTCAGAGTATTAAAAAACAATGCACCAATTTCAGTAAAGATGAAGTGGAAATATTAATGGATTTAGTGGAAACTCACCAACATGTTATAGGCACGTACAATTTAATATTATAAAGTGAAACATTGTCGTTTTAGAATGTACGAAAACATATACAATTAATTACTAATGGAGCAGAAGAGGTTGAGCGGCGCACCATAGCAACAACATTTAACGTTATTTGTGGGACGGGAAGAACTGCGAAGATGTTGCGAAGCAAATGGGATTCGCTCAAAAAATTGAGCTTAGGAGCCAAGTATATAAAACTGGTGGCGGTCCACTCCCAGATTTGAACTTGACAGGTTTAGGGAAATGAGTGCTGAATTTAGTTGGTGTCTCTGCTAAGGGTACTGAATGTGAATTTGATTCGGATGATGGTAAGTGCAGTTTTACGCCATTGTAGGTTTAACTTAAATTTCAATTAGCACGTAGTTTTCTGTTATAGCTTTTGTTACCCCAAGCGAATTAGAATCCTTGGAAATCTTTACAGATGTGAAAGGATGTTCTGCTGAAGCTGTAGAAATCCCAGTTGCAGATTTGGTGAGTTACTTTTGGTTTCGCAAAACCGTATAGTTCATCTTTTGACAATATTGAGGCAATCGGAACATCCGGCGTTGAATTTGCCTTCAAAGCATTCAGCAAAAATTGTAGTGAGTATTTGCAATGTTACTTTACGAAACGAAATACTGAAATGCCACTTTTACTTTTAAGTAAGCAGTCCCATTTTCGAAAAATTGAAGAGGAAATACGTAAAAACTGGAAGAAAGGAATATATTTATGAAGAGCTGGTCCAAAAAATAATAGAATTTTCAGATTTTCAGAAAACTTTGCCGGAAAAAGGAGCGCGACAAAAAGAAAAAATGGAAAAGGAAATGCATGACCTAAAAATCAAACAAATGAAAGAGGAGCATGCTCTTAAATTGAAAGCGTTAGAATCTAAGATTCTAAATAAAACAACTTGGTACCAGAAGCGGATCCAGCTTTCGAGTCGGGGGGGGTCAAGTGGTAAAAATTTAGTCTTTTGTTGTCCATGAAATTAGAAAAATGTTTGTTTGTCGTTAAAAACTCAGCACAAGGGGGGGTTATCATGACCCCCATGACAACCCCCTGGATCCTCCCTTGCTTGGTACCCAACAGATACTTTACTAGAACACCTACAAACGCATTTCAATCGGTTGTCGATGACGGTAAATCAAAAATTTCTTTAAATCGCGTGAAAAAGTTTATATATGAAGAAATTGTAGGTTATGAATTGAGACCGAGAAATAAGACGCTATTGACTCATTGACCAATAGAACGAAGGAACAACTTTATCTGCAGTATATCCGGCTCATTTCACTGGTATAAGTTATACCGCCATTTATACCGAGATGACGTTATTCCACTATAGAAGAACCGAATTTTAAAAAGATATACCTAGAAGAGCTTGTTCCTGGTATATACCGCAAATGTAGATTTAGCCTTTAAGCGAGTTTTGCTAATTTGCCGAGAGGACTAAGTAGTAATAATCGGTTATTTTGCATTTTCTATTAAACGACTTTTTGTCTGATGTTTTTAATGTTTTAGAAATTCCATTATTTACCTAAACAAGAAGCAACAAAACCTGAAAACGTTTGCTTATAACATTTGAATATTGGATGCACCCCAAAACTGATTGCAGAATTTTTGAGCAGTGAAGCAATTCTGAAAAAGCAATTTAGTGTTGATTGATGCAAAAACGGTGTTGTGTTAATCTTTTGTGTTTCCAATTTTAGATTCTTTTGGGAGGTTAATATAGAAATCCTACATATGCTGGCCATTTTCAATGCTAATTAGAACGGTGAGTGATTATTTGAAAAACTAATTTGTATAACTCACTTGTTAAAGATAACTTGGAATCGATTGACTTAAGGGGCATCACAGTGAATTAAAATTGCCACAATTCCTTTTCTTCTTAAAAGAGCTAATTTCTCGACGAGCATATAGCAGAAAAAAATTCACTTTCAAGAGCTGATCTCTGGAAATTAAATCTTTAGCTTGTATTTTTCTCTTTCTTACCATTACATACATTTCTGATTTTCTGATACGCAATATAACCAGCAAAAAATCAAATATACTGTCTTATTAGTAACTAAAAACCGTTGGAACTTCCCAGACGTCCGTTAATTGCGACTTATGTTTGGCCCTGTACAATGTAATTATGAAATGTAATGTTTGATGTATTTCGCTAAACTAGATAAACTCCTAAATGTAAGACCTATTGCAGGGAGATTTCAAATTTTCAGCATGCCTTTTACTAGTTTAGTGGAGCTTACCTGGACAGTACGGAAAAATATATAAATTTAAACTTTATCAACTATATAAAATATATCGAAAAATTACAAAATACATATTTTAATATTTGCACATATATATTCGGAAAAACTGTAATCCTATCGTTTCATAATAAATTAGGTATAGCGCCAACCAAACATCAGTAGTGAACATTTCAACGTTGGATTTGGGGTTTGTTTTAAAATTTTGTTAGTCAAAATTTCAAATATTTATATCATTGCTAGAACTTAATTGAAAACTAAACTTTGATGCAGTGAATTGTTCTCAGCTGAGGAATGTCTTTATCGCTTCGACAAAGAGTCATAATTTTTTTGTAAGTTTTAGTAACATTTTTTTTGTTTTCCGCGCTGCCTAAATACTCGCCGATATCACCTACGGAGCAATGATTCGGTTTTTAAATCACCGTGTGGGTGTATATAGTGGGTGTATCATGAGGAAGGGACATTATTTTAATCACGTATTCTAGGTCCGCAAATAACACTAGTTTTCTGTATAAATGATGGGTTAAAAATGCTTCGATACGGATTTATAGGGTGTGGAAAATTAATTTAAAAAATGCAAAATGATAAATTCCCTCAAAACGCATCGAGATATTTTATCCAAATTTTTCAGGGATGAATAGCTAGAGAAAACACATGTTTTACAATTTAAAAAAATTCTTAATTTTGAAATGTTTTAAAAGACTTCTTTTAAACCAAATATTTTTATCTACTTTAGCCACTGGGTTACGTATGCGCTACAGACTACAAGAACGCACGGGTACGTACATAAACTAAAAAGTTTTAGCTTTAATTTAATATTAATTTAGCCCACCTCCCACAAATGCACTTAGAATCCTAACATTACTTGACAAAATTAACAAAATTAATTAATTGCAAAACATGCGTCTTAGCTATTGATCCCTAGAAAATTTCGTTAAAATACCGCTATGCGTTTTGAAGAGATTTATAATTTTGCATTTTTTAAATTAAATTTCAACACCCTGTAAATCCGTAACGAAGCATCTTTGGACCATCGTTTCTAAAGCAAAATAGGGTTATTTCCAGACGTAGAATAGTGATTAAAATAATTCCCCTTCCTCATGAAACATCTTGTATATATAAATCTACTATTCCAATCGATTAAATTATTCACATATTTTCTGGTCAAAATATCACTGTTAGGGGCCTTCTGAACTCACTTCCAGGTGTCTGCGACGGATACTGTGTAGCGTATTGAGGCATTGGAATAATTCCTGGAGGTACAGGGTTACCTTGTTGCATGGTAGTGTTAGGATAGTAGCCAGATATGCCGCTAGGCGATGCTCCAGCAGAAGAAGTTGTTGTAGAGCTGGAGGAACTGGCAGCATCTAATCGTTCTTGAGGGTGATTTTTGCTTTCAGGTGGAGAGTCACTTCTTGGAGATCCGATAGAATTTCCCATTCCGGGAACAAGCTGTTGTGGAATTTGTTGCGATCCTTGCTCATACATCTTGCTAACATCCAATCCTGAATAGGGCCTGGGACTATCACTGCAATACTTGCTATCCATGTACATTTTAGAAGTCTCAAAATACACCTTAGACAGTGCCGTAGTGGGATCTAAATAAGATCTATCCAAATAGTTTTTTGAATTAGATTCTATATATTTTGGATCTGAGTACATAGACATTGCAAGTGATGATGGAGGCATGTATGAAGAACGATACTTTTCTGCTTCTAGTGTGTATTTCATAGCATCCATGGGACTAACCATCTGAAACAAGTCAAATGTCTCCATTAGGCAAAGTATGAAGCAAACTTTTTTAATGTTCGGGTTATATTATTTTTAAGAAAATGTCCCATACAGATCATGTATTTCGACTCCTGATTCAAGACAAAGATCTCATAAAATTTTTCTGCTTTGCTGTTTTGCTAGTTAACAGGTTTTTCCCATTTGAAACCCTGTATACCGTGAACATACCAAAAAACAACTGAACAACAAAAATTTCATTTACGGCTAATAATTTAAGCAAATTTCTAGTTGAAGTGTTAATTGCGTCCACTTGTTAACCTGCTGGTTTTTTGTCAAGTGTAGTCATTTCTCGTTTTTATTGCTGATGCCCATTTTGTTTAGTTCTGATTTGAATCCGGTGACAAAAGCTTTTACGATTTGAAGGCATTTAATGCTTAATGAGGAAATTTGAATAGTGAAGTTGAAAGGATCGGTATTTATTACACGAATAGATAGGAAATGTAATTTTAACAAATCGTATATTTTTATTGGCCAAGATTGACGTATAAATTCGACAGACTAATACTAATAAAAAGCCTTAAAAGCGGCATACACTATTTATCGTTTATAATACCATATTAAGTCAACCACGGTTTATCATTAAAAGAAAACATTTATTTCCATCTTAAAAGTTTCCTAACTGCTTCTTGGATGCAAAAGACTACAATATACATGTAAAATCAAAACGCGTTTTACCTAAATCTCAGCTAAATATGAACTAGATATTTAGCCATTCCAAAATATTTCATCGGTTCGATTGATTTTTAAAGCTGATGAAAAAAAATATGTATTACTTTTGACCTCCACAATGCAAAATTTATCATGTGTAATGTAGCCCAACCACTATTCGTACCAAAAAACATTAAAACTCCGCCCGATTAATTATTCGACTTCTTGAGCTAATGTCTTCTAAAACTACTGACATATTAGGTGGTCGAGTTTACACTGAATTTGAAATTTCCATTTCAGAACTCGTGCATTTATTTTTTTATGTTTGTGGACTTTAGAAAAGCGTCATTCTTCATAGTATTATCGATGTCCGGGAATCAGTTAATATCTGTAAAAAGAGACCGATCCTGCTACTACATGTTTAAGTTACATCAGAAATTAATTTAGAGTTTTCTAAACAATTCATTGTGTCATCACTGCTCGTTAATTTTGGCGCTTGGAATAATATTCACTCCTTCCGTTCTCTCTGATTCACTTATCCTTAACTCTTTTGTAAAATGTTCTGCTTTACATTCTTGGGTTTCAATTCAAAATAAAAGTGATTATTTTACTTTATTTCAAATATTCCGGTCGAATCGGTGAACATTGTGGAAAGTTAAACTATCACAAAAGTGGTCGGAGCCATTCCACCTGAGTATAAAAATGAAACTAAATATTCCACGTTTTTTACTGAATACTTGATGAATTCGTCTAATATGTTGTTTGCTAAATGATCAAATAATATTTTGTCGCCATCGTCGGCCGCCCTCATTCAAACACAAGAAACAGAACGTTTACGCGTAACGCAGCACATTTATCTGAGCCATTAAGGCCCATTGTAGGGAGGTGATATATCATCCGAAGGTGCTGCTTCTAACCCGGCTAGAAAGCTTTGCAACATGTAACACCGGTTCTTTGTGCAGTAATGGTGGACGATGCGTGGAATTTTCTGTCAAACTGTTTCTTTTCAGTCTCTTCGTATCGTCTAACCCCGGCGAGCCGATTTTGGACTTTCCGATTATAAATCAACCCTTTTTCGGACAAAAAGTCACAATGAATAGGCAGGCATAAAATGCTGTAAATAAGTATCTGGTCACAAATAGTGGTGGCAACATGTGAAATGCAAAATTAAATATATACCCAGAAAAGAAGGATTTCAAATGGTTGCAGTAGATAGTTTAGAGAGCTAATATTGTCGGAATAGTGAAACCCCATAAGTAATCTATGTTTAATACTTTAATTTGCCCTAGGTTATAACTCTCGAATGCAATTTCAAAATTTGATAGGGTTATATTGCTGAATTGCATGCCGTATGGTTCAGCAAACAACACTGAAAATCAGGAAGAACATTTTCGGAGTTATAGAGATATATAAAACTTTAATTGATCATTGATCATGATCAGTCTCAACTGAGACTGGAGGGGAAACTGTTCAAACTTGTGCACTAGCTTTTCCTATTTTTCCGTTAAAATAAGATCGCCAGAAAACACCATCTACGATTTCTTTGCTGCTTTAAGCTGAATAATTTAGAGTGGATCCTTTGGAAAATTATCTTTCACTTTGATTGCCTGCGTCTTACTTGATAAAATTACTAGCTAACTTTGGCTATGCTGGTGCATGTGAGTGAACAATTTATCAGAATGTTGTAAAGAAGATGTGCAAACATATGGGCAACCACTTGGGTCCACTCATTAAATACTAATTATTGAGGTTCTAATCGGAAATTAGAATTGACCTTCAGCAAAATTACGTCAACCCACTAATGTGATTTATCATTATCTAGAGACGCCATGCTAACAGCAAAAACTTGATGACCAATTTTCCATCTCCTATTTTTATCCTCCAGATTTAGACAAGTTGCAAGAACCATGATAATATTTTTCTTTGTAAAGTTGTAGGAAGAAAAGAATAATTCTTATCGTGCTTTCACATACAGTACTACAAATAGGCAGCATCTGATTTAAAAAAATGTCTTGGCAAGGAATCCTCTAGCATTTTATACCTAAATATCGATTTTAATTGCTAAAGACGCACCAGCTTTGAGATGTAATTATTGTGTTAAATACTTAAAAAACCTTCAAAATCTGTAAATGAAACGTTATTATATTAAGTCTGCATTCACTTTTGTTTTGTGCTGTGTGCTTTATCGAAATTAAATATGATTATGTGCATTTACGATTAAAGCAAGTTTTCTTGTTCTTCGTTTCAATGTACGTTTAGTCATATTTGTACTGTGGGTTGACCATCAACATTTTTATAGTTATCACGTCGTGGTCAGAAAAGCGATTTGGGACGTAAACCACAGAATGTAAATATTTTTTATGCATCACAAATTAATAGTTTGTAGTTTGATCAAAGATTGAACAATATTTGCTTGCGTGTGGATTACACATAAAGTTTAAACAAGAAAATCATGGCATCACCCACCATCAGTATATCTCCCAAAGTTATTCCGCAAATAGCAATTAAACAGTTCAGTTTATCAGTCTCATAGTAAGTTCACTTTCTACAATACCTTTTATCAAACTCATGTAATTTCATTTATTTACATTTTTTTCGACAATAGCAAAAAATACCTGCAACAATAAAGCTTTTCTTTATATAGATTTTGATGTAATATGTAGTATGCTAATGAAAGGCTTGACACGCAAAGTGTTACGTTAGCTAATACATCAGATATTTCAGATTTGAAATTGAATAACTAATTGTCACATTTTGAAACTGCGAAAGAAATGGTGGGTGTGTAATTATAAAACAAGAGTTTAGCAAGAATCGCATTAAGACTTCCTCCCGTTGCTTTCAAGATTATTACTCAATCAAGATTAGCGCGGTCCCTTTGTGACTGAACCTGAGTGGTTTTATTAGAGAACAGTCCGGATTTATTGCCTATGAATTGCCGGTGTAACGACTGAAAAATGCTATTTTATTGTTTTCAACTAAACACTAGGATGCTAGGTTTGTTACTTTAATTGTTAACTTAAGACGCGTTTATTCATTAAAAGTATGATTGTTTTTGATTGACATCAAATTGTTTTTCGCATTACAATTGCATTTCAATGGGGCATTCAAAAGTGATTTGGGTTCAAGATTGGCGGAAAACTCCAGAAAACATCATTTATAGCAGCTTGATAATAAATGAGTCGAAATCAGGCCCGCTAAATTTAATTCAGTACAATTAAAATTTAATCAAGCTTCCAAATTCCTCGCATCTGCCGAACTAAACATGGTGTCCACTCAATAAAATATCGACTTTATTTATCAACATTACAAATTAATTAGATCGGTGACAATAAATTTATTATCTGCGGGATTACGGGGATGCAGTATTTGAATAAATATGAAATGGTAATACAGTGCCCAGCGTGCATTTGACAACTTACTTATTACGGCTAAGTTATAATAGGAAGGCCTATAAATTGGGTGTTAATACCGTAAAAAATGGCCCTGTTGCATAAATAATTTTTAAAAGTTGTTTGGGTTCGTGTCGTTAATGACAAAAGGTGTCGGGCAGCATGGTTATTGCTATACTCGACTATAAAATGTTAAGTTGAACCGGATGTGAATCGAACGATTAATACTCATTTGTACCGACGGCAAGATTTGGCAGTAGCATTCATTCGTTATTTTTATAACGAATAATAAATATAAATAATATATTGTAATGGAGGTAATTAATTGAACAATTTTATCTTCAAGAATTACAGGAATTTTTATGAAATAAATAATCAACGAACAAAGAAAACGGACAAATCGCTTTTCATTAGTTAGTTAGTTTGGAAGAGGTAGAGCATTAAGAGGCAGGGTTGAAAGGTTTTCATTTGCTTAGTTTTTGTTTTCGGTGGAGTGAATTAAGTGTCTGTGTGTGTCGCTCAAGATACGGTTTCCGGAAAAAAATTGAATAGTCCGAAAAACTAAATATGCTACAAAAATAGATGATCACGATTCTATATTGTGTAGGTACTTATTAAATAGTTTTATGTCCGTAATAAGCGCTAGAAAGGTTGAACATAATGTAGCTATCAACACGGTTGCATCATTACAATTATAATTAATGTCTTCGTCTTCCATATAAGCAATTCCATTCTTTAAAACAAAACAATAAAAACTTGATGAAACCAAATCGTTCGCAAACCCTTAATTCTGGGATTAAACACCTGAATTATATTAAATAAAATATTTTAACAGACGAGACAAAACGTTATAAGAACAAATTATTTTATGCCTCCAGACGGTTCGATTTGAAAAATATCCTTTAACTCAATACGTCAAGCAAT